CACACAAAGTAGGGAATAACACCTGTTCTAAGCAGCCAAAGTGAAAAACCTGAACTTAGGAGCATTTGGTAGAGTTCTCTGAGGAGTTCTGCCTTACGAGTGGAAAAAAAAATTAGCTTTAAGTCAAATGCTGCTCTGGTCAATCTGACACAGTTTAAAAGCAAAACTTGAAAGGATCCAATCTCTTCCAGCTACTTATAACAGAAAAAAAGCTAAAGGATATTTATAGAAATCTAAAAATATCCTGTACCTAACAAGGTAAAATTCAGGATAAAGATCCAATCAAAATTCATCAGACATGCAAAGAACTACTGTTTGTTCATTTGTTTGTTCTAGAGATCAAACCCCAGACCTCAAGCTTGTCAGGCAAGTACTCAACTACTGAGCTACATCTTCAGCCCTATTCTATTATTTTTACAAAATGTCTTGGGGTTTACTGAATCTTAAATTTTCCTAAAAACAAAAATCTGTCATCTTTGTCATTTTCACCATGTGTGCTAATCTCAAAATTCCTCCTCCACATGATTGAATTGCTATTTCCCATATGAAATATTAAACACTTCTAAGGCAAGCAGCATGGTGACAAAAAGCACAAGCAGCACAGAAAAAAATCAAGACCTCAATTTTTTTCTTCTCAACTTATCTCTGTGTTCCAAAAAAGCCACTGAACCTGAATTTCAGTTCACTTATCTATAAAATGAGTATAATAACACTTGCTTTATAGGGCTGCTATAAACAACCCAAAACAAACAATACACAGTAGCTACCATTTCATAATATCACATTATCATAAGAAAAGTTACCATACTGCATCTTCAAACACTTCCTAAATACCTATTCATTTACTAGGTGGTACACAGGCACTTGGAAAGTGAAAGAAAAAAAGAACACTGCTGAGAGGAACTAAAGTATATCTTATGTTGAACCTACATTTAAAAGTTCATTTCAAGTACAAACTTCATATTCTATTTCTTAATTTCTAAGTAGGGCAATTATTTTAAGTTCCTCCTATAAAAATTAAAGGATGATTTTTTTCCCTGTTGAAAGAAAAAATAATCTAAGAAGCTGTCAGGTTCAACCAATTAGGACATGTCTGAGAAATACTTGGAATCTAAAAAACATGGTAAAACCTTCATTTAAAAGCAACCTGCAATTAACATCACCTTTCAAAATTATTCTCAAATTAGTAGACTAAATTATATTCAGACAAAATGGACCAATCTGTTATTATGATAATCTTTTCAGAAAGGCTGTGCCAACAGATGTAAGGAACTAAAATCAAGTTCAAGTTTGTATTTCATTTGCTCATCCTTTTAAATGACAGATGGTTTAAATATTAACCCTATTAATAAAATGTTTGCATATTCATTACAAATCTGATTACCTCACATCTTAACTCCAGAAACTTATTGTGTTAATTTTGCTATACTTCATTTTGCTGCCCACTTCATTCAAGGCCTTCTACGTCCCTGCCTGTCAAAGTGTGGTCCCTAAACCAACAGCATCCACGTCTACCTGGGAGCTTATCAGAAATGCAGAACCCCACATACCAGACCACATCTACCCAACTGAGTCAGAATCTACATTGCTAACAAAATCCCCAGATTTCCATGCATATTAAAGTCTGAGTAGCATAGCTGTAAAATGTTACTTGTCCCTTCACTTTTATTATTTCTTCTTTGCTGTTATAAAGTTTACTCCCTAATTGCTAATTTCTCTCCAGATATTGACTTTTACTGAGAATAACTCAATTCAGAGAATTAATCAGTATATGTACGTTATATGACATATACTGTATAGTCTTTTTTTTTTTTTTTTTGGTTCCTGGAATCGAACTCAGGACCTTGCACTTGCCAGGCCAGCACTGTACCACTGAGCTATATCCCCAGCTCCTGTACAGTCTTTATGTCTCAGCTTTGACTTTACCTCTTAACCAGGATTTCAAGCCTTAGAAGTCTCCTTGTATTACATTACTCATTATTTCTCTCGAGTTGACATTTTTGTCTTAGCATATGGCCACAGTGACAAAAGTCTTCTCTCCAATTAAGCAACTATACAGTACAGAACAAAGTCCATAATTTCAGAAAAAATTCAAACTAGGTTTATATAAGAAAAAAACTGCCAAAATGACTTCAGCCTCCACCATGATATATTTTTGTGCTTAACCTAACATTTTTACTGCAGGTACCACATCTTTTTTAGAATAAGAAATTCACATGGGACTTAGAGAGTACAGTTCTTTAGATGGCTCATCTTTTATTATTAGTAGTACTGCACAATAGTCACAGTGCTCATAAAATAGAACAAATCTTATTTCTCTTACTTTCCAAAAAAAAAAAAAACAAACTGATCACAGCAGGCAGGATGGTTCGGCATAGATTCAAAGGAAGGTACAAATGTTCAGTTTTCAAAAGCTCTGCAAAAGCCAACCTCATCCCTTGTCACTGTGGCCATGGCTTCTTGCCAGTCATTTGAAAACTGTTGAAAAGTGCTGTTCTTTACAAGCAATTATGAGAAGCTTTACAAAAAGAAAGAAAAATGATAATAACAATCTGCTGCTTAAAATGGTCAAATATCCATAGTCCCCAGGTTGCAATATAACCTTTAAGAGTTGCCTGGCTGCACCGGAGCCAACATAGCCAACATAGATCCCTTAGGTAAAAGGGCTTAAAGAGTGTTAAGTTATCCAGGGACCTATTGAACCAGTCTCAAAAGTTCAAGGCGTCCTCAAACATCCCCATCTTTATAAAGATCCTATTATAGAGCCATCATCCTTGAATTTAACTCTTTCTTATCCCATTCTGCATTTTCAGTTCACATAATTTCTTAGGATACTAAATTCCACAAAAGCATGAGGTATTTAATGCTTTTAAAAACAGGCCTAGATATATTGATTTCAAGTTTTAAAGAGTGCCCTCTAGTCTAACTCCTAGAATGTGATGAATAATTCACTATGCTCCATCTCTGCTCACATCCACTGCCAAACCTCTCAGAAGTGTCCATGCACTTGGCTCCTCTCCTCCCCTTCTCAGTCACTCTTCAGCCCACTCCTAACTGGCTTCTATTCTCTTCACTCCACTGCAGCCTGTCTTGATAAAGACCATTAAGGACCTTCCTGCTGCTAAATACCATGAGCACCCCTTAGTCATGATCTTTCTTCAGTTTATAGCTTATTCCACAATTTACCAATCTCTCCCTCTTGAAATAACTCTCACTAGCACTGACGGACCTTCGTTCTTCTCACGGCTTCCCAACTCTCTAACCCTTTGGGGACTCTCGCCCCTCTACCCGACCTACAGATGTTGAACTCCCTTGGGGCTCAGTCCTGTAATCTCATCAAATCCCATCACTGAAAGTAGCACTATTATACTGCTGACTCACACCTTCACATCTCCACTCTAGATCTGACTTCTGAGTCCGGAATATACCATACTGTCTACTCAGCGTCTCCATGGGGATGCTTTATAAACACATTGAACTCAATGTATCCCCAGCTGGAGTCTTAGATCTTTCCCTCACTTCCTCCTCCAGTGTTTTCCATTCTACAGCCATGTTCTTAGTTGCTCCTTTACTCTTACCACATGTATCCAATCAATCACCAAGCTTTGTCATTTTTGAGCCTCCAAAGTATATGCCCAATTTCCCCATCTTTACTATCACCCTGCAGGTCTAGCCCAGGTCACCTCTGGCCTATAACACTCCAACAGTGTTCTAAATAACATTCCTGAATCCACTCATACTCCCTTCTAATTCCACCTCCACGCCACACTCACAGTGATACTTTCAGAGATGAAAAATGCCCCTGCTTAGAACCTTTCAGTGGTATCCCACTGGTTTTTAGATAATGTTCACAAGGCACCAACTACCTCCAGACAGATCCAATTCACGCTACCATTCCTTTTGTTTTCTAAGCCTCTATATTATACATGTGGAAGTGTTTCAGGGGTGGGCCCCTTCTGCACATTGTCTTTTACCTAGAATATTCTTTTACTCTTCTGTCTGCTGCTGTGTAAAACACACAAACACAAGTGCACATGTGTGTGTGTGTGTGTGTGTGTGTGTGTGTGTATGACCCCAAACTGTAGGGTCCACACCCCATAGTCAAATCAGACCAAAAGCACTGAATGCTAAAACACATCACCAAAACAACATAATAGCTACCCCTTATATAACTTATCAGGCTCTATTATAGGTGGTGGATATTTATTACTGATTCAGGGCTCAAAAGAATCCCAAGAAGTTGTATCATTTACTCTATAAATATCTATTTCACCTCTATTATATTTTGAGACAATATTAAGATATTATTTCTATTTTAAGATAAATAAGGTACAAAAAGGTTAAGTGACTTAATCAAGATCACAGGGCCGGGGATATAGCTCAGTGGCACAAGCATCTGCCTGGCAAGCGCAAGGTCCTGAGTTCGATTCCCGGTATCCCCGCCCCCACACACAAAAAAAAAAATCACAGAAATTCAGAGGCAAAATTAGAATCCAGGAGCTGACAGTGTAGCTGAGGAGCAGAGCAAATTCGCCCTTTGGCGGCATGGATTTAATCCCCAGCACCTGCACAAACAAAAAAACTGAATTCAAATTTAGTCCTGTATGACTCCTTGGTGAATTTAATTTTTCCTTCCATAATTTACATAGTTATTTGGGTAGATATGATATCCTCCACTAGAAGGTAGGGGTCATTTATATCTTGTTCATTGCTATATTCCTAGTGCCTGAATAGAGTCTACCACATACTTGACGCTCAATATTTACTGAATACCTGTATATAAATGTTTACTGTTCCCTTGCACGTTTATTTTGCGAATGTAATAGACTCTACACCTCCTAGTACCGTACACACATCTCCTATGCTAACTGTAGCCTGCCTGTCTTCGACAAGCTTGTCGGTCGGTCCCTCGACGTCTTCTCCTCCCGTCCTCATGGCAATGCGGCCCTGGCTAGTTCTCTCCCTCCCTGGCGTGTGCGAGCCTGTCGGTCTTTCCTCACCTTCCACGTCGGGGAGGGCGCTGCCCCAGCTTCAGGGCCAGACCCAGACAGCTCTCCGGTCCCAGACAGCATGAAGCGGCCATAGCGCTGCAAAGGCCACTCAGCCGCGTCTCTTCGTGGAACTCCGAGGCTCGTGACCGCTTTTCCTGCTTCTGCCATGTTCGGCTGCCCTCTCGCACAGCCTGCTGGGACCTGCCAATCTGCGAAGCTAGCCAATCAAGAACCAAAATAACTCAAGGTCCACCCTCCTCCTTCATGGGAGCCAATGGGCAGGCCTGGAATGTTCCTGAAGGGGGCGCTTCTAGACTGATGGTCTTTAGTAACTCTGGGCACGCCATAAGGGTGATCTTAACTTCTGCCTTGACGCGGGTGGGGCTGTGTTTATGCTTATAAATGGTAGTAGCTTTCTGCGCTGCAGCACTAGGACCCTCACCTTCCCTTGAGCTGCCCGTGCCGTTTGTTGTTCAGCAGCTCTGACTTGAGAAAGTTCCCAAATGACTGGCTCCCCGGAAGTTCCATACCCAGGGCCTACACTGGTTCTGTAGTCTTCCTCCTTGCAGCAGCCTTTCAGAGGACACCTCAAATACATCACAGCACAGCCCCCGATCCACGTGGTGGTTTCATTCTCATCATCCTGCCCCCATGAACACACTGTCTCCAGACGACCAGTTTTTCACCACCGGGGAAACAGATGGGTAGGGGGCTGCTAGCCACAAAAAGTGTGCCTTCATCAAACAGCAGGTGCAACTAACTAAAAGAAGTTGATGGGTGATTTATAGTTGACAAAGCACTTGCACATCTGTTATTTCATTTATCCTCCCTACAACCTTCTGGAAAATTAAAGAAAAAAAAAAAACGTATTGTTACGTCCTTGGAATATATGTAGGCAAAATAAAGTCCAAAGAGTAAATGTGGCTTGCCTAAGGTTACACAGCCAATGAATGGCAGAGCCAGGGTAGAACTGTGGACGACTCCACAATTTCTCCATGTGTCAGCCCCACCTGCAAAGGATTTAGGTATTTATGAAATCTGTGTCAAGTCAGAAGCCAAGTAAACAGAATATGGAGGCCATGTTAACCAAATATATGAAACTGAATCAAAATGCAAACAAATTTTTAAACTAAACACATCAAAGGATACTACATGTATAGATGATGCTGGGAAAGATAGTAACTTACTCTATAAATCATCAAATATCTACAGAGTGCAAATAATTATGAAAGTCAGCATCTGATAACAGAGATGGGTAATGCATACCTCTCACCTCCAGGAGCTGATGATCTAATAAAGAAAATAAAGCAAGATACAGATATACCCATGATACCTGCCAGATAATGCTATGTACTCTAAAGCTTCAGAAAAAATGAAAAATCTCCCAATAGGGAGAACAGTAGTATTTGAGTTAGGACCTGAAGGATGAGAAAGCTTTCCAAGGGAAGGTGGAGGAAACTGGTATGCCATGCGTGGGGCTGGGGACTGAGGAGGAAAGTTTTTAAAATAAGGATAATGACATAACTAGTGAGAATGTGTTTTCTTGTTCATTGGTGGTGATGGGGATTAAACCCAGGGCCTCATACATATTAGGCACACACTGTACTACTGAGCTACACTCCTAGCCTCTGAACCTGTTTTTTTAAGGAGGCTACAAAATGAGTAGGGGCAAAAGAGCAACGAACATCAGCTAAATAGCATAGGTGTTATTTGGTAGATGGTAAGGAATGTGGGATGTGTGCACAGGGGATTGACACTATCCTAGGGGTGGTCCAGCCAGGTTTATCTCTCAGGAGTATTTGGGATAAACTGGATTAAAGGCAAGAAGGATTTGCTACATATCTTTTCATTAGTCCAGTAAAGCTTACCGAAGGAGTCAGATTTCAGAAACAACTTCTGAAGGTCCTTAAATGACACAGCACTACTGCACTTAAGGAGTAAATGGTTAAAAGTTTGATTTGAATCCCAGGTCTGTCACTTGCCAGCTGTGTGACCTTGAAGAAGTCACTTAACCTGAAATATAATATTATGAAACAACTATTTTACAGGGTCATTAAAAGGATAAAATACAACACATGTAGAAAAACCTCTAGTAAACAGCAAAGTGGTACCCACATTGGTATTTTCTGTTTCCAGGGTTAAAGTGACTTTCCATGGGCTGGCTACAAAGAAGGAGGATGGGAACAAGAGCCTGACCTTGGGTCTCAGAGGCACTCACCTTTCAGGTCCAGGGCTGCAGCTGCTGTCAAACACCCTTCGCAGGAACAGATGGTGCTCACAGTTGGGACCCTGTCAGTGCCCAAGGACACCCAGGGCCCTGCTGGGCTCCCACCTGCAAGCTCCCTTTCTAGACAATGGCACCTGCACTTGAGCTTCTGGGGCCACTAGTGTCTGCCAAGAACAGATCATGTCTGCAGAGGGAGCTATGATAAAGCCACAGCTCAATGCATGAGACTCATGTGTACTTACATATTAATGACACTCAGCGGGACCCAACAGCATATGAAGTGCTGGGAATACTGCAGAGAACAAATCAGACAGAGCTCTGCCCTCTTAAGGTTTGCATTCTTGGGGTGGGAGGAGGGGGAGGCAGAACATTCAGCAAATTGTACCTGTTTTTAATGGCCAATGTGTTTTCTTTTTAAAAGATAAAGCTATAGTATGTATTAAGGCAGTTTTATAGAGTGAAAAGCACAAATCTCAAATGTTAAATTAGGCAAGTTTTGATACTTACGTCCATTCATACAACTACCATCCAAAACAAGATATAAAATATTTTCCCCAAACTCCTGTGTCTCCTTCGGTTAATCTCCATCCCACAAGGGCAACTCCTGGCCTCACCTTTATTACTACAGTTTAGCTTTCCTGTCCCAGGACTCAATATACATGAAACCATGCAGAAAGTACCTATTCATACCTATATCTTTTGCTCAGTGTATTTTTTTTTTAGCTCCAAACATGTTGTGTGTATCAATATAGTAGTTTAATTTTTTATGCATGAGATGTTTCATTGTGTGACTATGTCAAAATTTGCTTGGTTTGTTTGGTTTTTTGCAATGCTGGGACTTGAAACTAGAGCTTTGTACAAGCTAGGCAAGTACTCTCCTACTGACCTACAGCCCGAGCCCACAGTTTGCTTGTTCCTCTCCTGTTGGTGGACATTTGGATTGTTTCCCAGTATTCCCCCCTACCCAAGCTCTCATGAAAATTCTTGTACCAGTCTTTTTTATAGAGATGCACTGTCCTTTATTTTCAGTAAGTACCTAGGAATAGATTTTTGGAGCCTAGAGAGATATATGTTTGACTTTATTTTTTTAAAAAAGCCTGCTAGCGTTCTCCATAGTGGTCATACCATTTTGTATCCCTATCAGCAAAATATGAAAGTTCCAGCTGCTCTATATCCTTGCTGACATTTGCATTGCTGTCTTTAGTTTTAGCTATTCTAGTTGGGGCATGATGGTATTTCATTGTGATCTTAATTTGCATTTCTCTGATGAATACAGTTGAGCCCCCTGTCAAATATTTTATTGGCCATTTGTGTATCTTATACCATGAAATGTCTTCTCAAAGCTTTTGCCATTATTAATTTGTAGGAATTCTTTATATATTCTAGATACCAGTCCCTTGTTAAATATAGGTAATGAAAATATTTTCCCATTCTGTGATTTGTCTTTCCATTTTCTTAACAATGTTTTGCAAAGAGAAAACATATTTAATTTTTATGAAGTGCTTCCTTAGTTATTCAGGTGCTTTTTTAAAAAAGTGTATTTTGTGTCGGCCTTAGAAAACCTGCCTACGCTAAAGTTGTGCACATCTTCTCTTACAGTTTTCTTCTAGAAACATTGTGGTTCCAAGTTTTCTACCTAGCCTATGATCACCCTTGCATTAAATTGTGTGGCATGAGTTAGGGCCTGAGGCTTATTTTTTCCATATAGATATCCAGTTGTTTCTCTGGAGCATCCCTCAACCATTGGTCAGTGGAAACTGGTGTATAACTACCCTGGATCCCTTAGTTCTCAGGTGGGATATCTCTGAGATTTGTGACCTACCATGTTTCCCAGAGTTCCCCAGTGGGGTTAAGCTCCAATTGGAATGATTCTTTTCTGGCCAACTTACCTTTGCTTTTGTTTTTTTTTTTTTTTTTTTTTCGAGACAGGGTCTCACTATACAGTTCAGGCTGGCCTTGAGCTCACTTTGTAGACCAGGCTGGTCTCAAACTCACAGCGATCCTCCTGCCTCAGCCTCCTGAGTGCTGGGATTACAGATGTGCGCCACCACGCCCGGCTGGCTAACTTACCTTATCTCTCTCCCCTACCACTGTGTCCTAGGATCATCCCCCAGATAAATTTTGCACTTGAAACTTTGTTCCAGGGTCTGCTTCTGGGGGAACACAAACCAAGATGGTGAGAAGCAAGACACACAGTCCTATCATCATGCATTAGTTTTAATATAGTCACATACAAGCAGATGGTGCAAGAGGCACTGAGAGGAGGGAGATGTCATTGTCACATCCAAAGAAGACTCTCTACTGCTGAGAATCACCCATAGAACAACAGCATTCAGGGTCCAACCTAATGAATGACAGGTGATGATGGGCTAACACATCCCACTCTTAGGAGACTGTTGCCAGGTAGAAAAACCAAGCCCCTGAAGTTTAAAGAAAAATCGTTTTTATTACCGTGAAGATCCTCTTCATCCCTTTTGCTATGTGTCTCTATTTTGCAGTTGAGTAATGAGCATCATTCTTGGAGGTATGTGCAGAACTTCTTTTGGAATCCTAACATACCCCTTTAAGGCAGCCCAGGGACCCTAGACATCCCCTCTTCCTAGGCTATTGAGTCAGCAAAGAAAGTGATGACTTCAGTCTCCTCGGGTCCTCTAGCTGACAGGATGACAGAGAAATCCACACCTTTGCTTTGTCTGCCGTGTCCCTCAGCAACAGCACACAGAGTGGCTGGGAACTGCAGGGCACAGCTGGTGGCTGCGGGGTTTCCAGAAAAACCCCATTCACGTCAGGAAAGCCAGATGAGCTGTCTCCATAAGGTCAGGCCTGGGGATGCTGTGTAGGAAGAGGATGTTCCCATGGAACTTTACACTCACGGATAGAAAGCAATTATTTCCTTTCTACTCTGTATCTTTCACGTGTGAAAACCAGCTGCTCCGTTGCAGGTAATTGAAGGG